AGCCCCCTGGGGAGTCAGCCCCACCATTTGTACAATTTTTAATCACCACCACCTAGGGATGCTTCCAGTCAAATATGGTTGATATCCACTTCTTAGTTCCAGAGAAGAAGTCGCTTAAAGCAATATGGCCAAATTGACCCCTTTTGGCCCTGCCCCTCAGCCCCACCATTTGTACAATTTTGAATCCCCACCACTTAGGGATGCTTCCAGTCAAATTTAGTTTAATTCCAACCAGTGGTTAAGAAGAAGAAGTAGTATAAAGAAATTGTTGACGTACGGATGGATGGACGACGGTCGCCACGGTATGGCATAAGCTCACCTTGGTCCTTCGAACCAGGTGAGCTAATAATGGCCTTGACCTTTTACCTCAAAGTGTATTTTTGTGAACTGAACATCTTGACCAAGTTTTATGAACATCGGTCAATAATTACATCGGGGCCCTAATTACTGTTTTCTAGAAGTTTGGAAAAATTACTGTTGTCTAGTAGTTTGGAGTAATTACTGTTGTCTAAAAGTTTTGAATAATAACCGTTGCCTAGAAGTTTGAAATAATTACCGTTGTCTAGAAGTTTGGAGTAATTACTGTTGTCTAGAAGTTTGGAATAATTACTGTTGTCTAGAAGTTTGGAATAATTACTGTTGTCAAGAAGTTTGGAGTAATTACCGTTGTCTAGAGGTTTGGAATAATTACTGTTGTCTAGAAGTTTGGAATAATTACTGTTGTCTAGAAGTTTGGAAAAATTACTGTTGTCTAGAATTTTGGAATAATTACTGTTGTCTAGAAGTTTGGAGTAATTACTGTTGTCTAGAGGTTTGGAATAATTACCATAGTCTAGAAGTTTGGGATAATTACTGTTGTCTAGTAGTTTGGAGTAATTACTGTTGTCTAGAAGTTTGGAATAATTACCGTTGCCTAGAAGTTTGGAGTAATTACCGTTGCCTAGAAGGTTGGAGTAATTACTGTTGTCTAGTAGTTTGGAATAATTACTGTTGTCTAGAAGGTAAGTGATCAGGAAATGAAATGACAATGCATGGATATAGAACAGGGTCAATGAACATAAACAAAAATACACAAACTTTTTTATTTATTTATTTATTCCTAATAAAAGAACACACATAGATTGATAGAAGCACTTACTGAACTAACTGATGATGAAAACATTTAGGTAAGAAGATCTGTGAGGCACAGGTACATTTTTTGTAATGATCTTTACTGATTGTAAAGGCAGTCAAAACTTATAGACAAAATTCTAAAGAATGAGAATATTATCATTGGAAAAGAGCACTGGACCAGTTTTTATTACTGCTAGTAAAACAATGCACCATACTCCAGCTTTTGTCCCTAGATTCTACAGAATATTCCCAAAGCTGTGCTCTGAAGTTATCAAGGATTTTCGACCCCTTTACAAAAAGGAACAATATGATATCATGATTTGTTTTTGTAGCTGAAAATTTCAATGGGCAAAAATATTTTGGTCATCTGTTAATACTGAAAACGTTTAGAAGTCAACAAAAAAATAGTAAACGACTGCCACATATACACTTTTCTCATTCCTAAGATGGGGGTGGATTCAGAATTATACATATATGTGAATGATAAGTCACATGATCATGACATGGATACCTGACAAGTTACACACATTTACAACGAAAAAGGCACGTCTACAGCAACCTGTCACTAACAGACTGAATGCGGCAAGTACATTACTGAACGTTAATCCTCATAAAACAAAATAAGATCTCAACATAAAAAGCTGATGAATCAGAAAAACTTGTAAACAGTAACAAAAGACAGAGTATAAAACAAACAAAACATCTAGCAAAAAAGTATTGTATATTTTAACTAACAAATTGGTCTCATAATTGTTCAGGTCTCCTTGGCCGATGATTGTAGATAAACTTGAGAGGCGTGTATGAGTCTGGGAGTACTCCGGAGCCTGTGTGAGTACCCAGTCTACTGGAAAACAAGAGATTTATAGACAATTATTGCTCTATGGTCAATATCTGGAGCAGTAAACATACATCCCACTGGTGCGGAGTTACTGGTACAGAGTTTTTGATCTATGTCACATTAAACAGACACCCAACATCCATAACAATAATTAAACAACATCAACAGTTCTGGAAGATTGCTTGGTCAATTCTGCTTCTGAAAGTAGCTCATCTTTCCTTTCACATCAGGTTTGATTGTGTCCTTCCCAGGTTTCCATCCAGCTGGACACACTGCAAAATAGAAATCACACATTAGTGAAAGTCTGCAAGGGCATTAAAGCAAAAACATTATCAAAACCACCAAAAAAGGCCCAAACAAGTATTGACTTTTTTTCCTTTATTTACTTTTTTAGAAATTTGTATTTATACTTAATAACAAGTAAATGAGTTTCTGAATTGCTGTTCTTGAGGAAAAGTTTTTTCAATGAACCCCCCCAATATTTGCAAACAGACAATGCATCATAGCAATAACCATAGGAAAATAACTAACCTTGTTCAAATTTGGGTTAAAAAATACTTTTTTTACAACAATTTCAACAACCTAAAGAAATAATTTGAACACAAAGGTAAATGAGATTCAATCAATTGAATCCTTTCATCAATGAACCAGAACTGGAAGTGACCATTACCTTCCCCATGCTCATCTGTGAATTTAAAGGCCTGCACAAGTCGGAGAGTCTCATCTACTGAGCGCCCGACTGGTAGATCATTCATGGTGATCTGGCGTAGGTTTCCCTTACCATCAATAATAAACAGGGCTCTGTTGACAAAAGATAATCGTACATGATATATCATCTCAAGACTATACCGAACATTTCTTACAATTAAATATCTAATATAGTACAAGTCTGCACCTATTTTGTTAAAGCAAACATTAGCAACTGGGATCATGAAATGGTACACCCATCCTAACCCTAAATTAATATTGTGTGTATTCACAACAAAACCGTGTATCAATACAATACTGGCATTTATCATATAAATACCATGTTATGCAGCGTCATAAAGCCATCACATAAATTATGTTTATGTAATGTATGTAATATCACTCCAGAAATGACGTCACAATTGAAAAGGAACAATCAATGTGACGTCATGTCATTGTGAAGCTGACGCCATTTTCATCATTTCAGAAGCGGCCAAGTGCAAAATACTCATTTTGGATTTCTTACATTTGCTCGCCAGAAGCTCGCAAACTTGAAAAATCTTAAACTTGTATAATAAATCTAATATGAAAGGAAACTTAAGACAGATCCTCGATTTATGTAAAATTATAATCTTAAGCTACCTTGACCTTTGGCCAACGACACCCATTAAAGCAAACATAACAGGTCAGTTTTATGAAAATGTGTTCAGAAGCCGCTAAAGTGACGAGGACGATCATGATAGCGAAATTGTGATATAAATTAGTAACAGTGACCTTCATTTCTGACTGTTGACTCCAATCAGGGCAAAAAGTACAGAAAAGTTTCATGAAAATCTGTCAAGAAAACCTGTAACGAGTGATGACAATGAGCAATGTTTTTGCAAAGCATAAAAGTTAGGGGTTAAATCAGGCATAAATCTAACTCTGAATACTTTATATGGCAAGCCTTTAACATTTTGAGGATCAAAAGCCATTTTAAGAGATTATATACACTCATATGGAGGTGAACTGAAACCCTGAATGAATTGACAGTGAAGGGGTATTATCAGTAACAGCATCCTAGACTTTTGACTCTCACCAAGGCAAGCATTATTGTGAAGCGTTATGGAATCTATTAGGAAAGACTGCTGTTGAACAGATGATTATGAGTGTAAAAGTGAAAACCAATCTCCCGTAATACCTTGACCTTTGACTGATGATGCCAGTTTAGAACATGTTCAATGTACGGCTATGAAGTTGTAAGAAAATCTGTTAAGAACTGAAGCTGGTAGAGTGATGATAAGGTCCTGAAGGAGTGGTGGGATGGTGGTATTCTATTTTCAGCAATTATGACCTCTTGATGACACCTATATGTCTGTCAATGAATGCAGCAGCTGGGGATGACGAAGAGTGTGATTGTGGAATTTTGTTTTTAGTATGACGTGGCCTTGACCTTTGACTGATGTTGCACATATTTAAACTAAGAATGAATATTGGTCACGAAATATAGCGGCAAGAGTGAAGACGATGGCATATCATACATATACATATGGGTAGAAGCCTTTCTCCCCTCAAACCTTTAATGTAATGAGATGATTACAGTACCTTATTTCTATTAGATCAGAGAGTGGAAACAGTGATTTTCCAGCCTTATAATCTCACCTGAAAGATATACCCTCGTCTTCCTTTAGTGCTCCATATGACCTGGATATTTCTAATGTTTTGTCGGCTAACAACGGGATCTTCATGTTCCCAAGTCCACCCTGCTTTCTAGGTGTGTTAATCCTGCCAACAGATTAAACTCACATTATACACATATCACAGAAAACGTACTTCTCAACAAGAGGCCCATGGGCCTTACGGTCACCTGATATATTTATACAGAGAGTTGATTTTGTTTTTAACATGAACAGAAATATTATTCAAAGTGACAAAAAACAATAAAACCACCTTACTCAATATCTAGCATACAGATTTAAGACTAAAAAGGATTTGAAACTAGCACCTCTGATTCTAAACAAGGAAAATGAAGAAATTTTAGCACACTGACTCCTTTGAGCCCCACCCTACAGCCCTTGGGGGTAGGGCTGGCTCAAAATTTTCAAAGTATCAAACTGTCAATTCAAGGTTATAATTCCAATCAAGTTATTAACATGTA